TTTTTTTTGAATTGAACTTTGTTACCTGTACCTTCATTAGATGCCGGAATTGACCAAGGCTAATATACATAGTTTTTATGATATAAGGTATTTTTCAGGATGTTATATATAAGGTTTGTTTGTTAATCATCGGATAGCATGTATAAACTTGTTATAAAAATAGAATTGATGGAAATTCAATTTCGGAAGCATTTTAAAATTGATTTCAACAGTTATGATATGGTCAATGTGAAGTAATGTTTGAAAAAAAACAGTTTCCCATTTTACAAGTTTATCCCCCATCTGTAGCCCCTTAAGAAATTCATTAACAAAGACGATGTTTTTCTAAGTCATCTGTTGTGTGTTTTTGTTGTCCCTAAATACTAAGTGTGTACAATGGTTTTAGCCTTGAATGACCTGAATAGAGGTAAATGGGTATAAAAGAACTAAAAACAAAAACAGTCAAAAGTTAATACGGCTAAAAATACAGTTAATAGACTGTGTATCCTGTTAGTAAAGTTTCCCCCAAACCAAACATAAATGCGGGGACTGATTCCCACATTGGTTGGTTTGTCAAGTTTTAAGTATAAGCAAGCCGGCGTTAAAAGTGGGCCGTTTTTCACACCCAGTGGTAAAATTCTAAATAAACTCAGAGTGAACTGCAGAAAAACAAAATTGTCTTTCCAAATGCAATTAAATTATCAAATAGTGAATGTTCGTAGCTGCGAAAATTAAACAACTTGGAATATTTCTTTAATCTTTGAGCCGAGACTATTATCACCTTTACTGTTAAATCTTTTCCTAAATCCAAGCATATTTTGCACAAAAACACTTGCAGCGCTAACTATTAATCTGTAGGTACCCAAATTGATTGATGAACAAGAGAGGTGCCCCAACTTACTCCAGTCTTTGGTCTGTAATTAGACATTGACAAGACCTAGTATGCTAGTGCCTAAACCAACATACAATGTAGGTGTTGATTTCTTTCTGCCTCCTGTCGTATTGAAACTTGACAAAGCTCATTTTGATATAGCACTTTTCTTAATAATAAAGCTGAATTCATTATTGGTAGAAATTTACTTTTATCTGCTAGTTTTTAATCTGAAAAATGCCGTAATTAATTTTTGTATATATTTAATAACCTTGTTCATAAATATATTATTCAAAATTGCTTTGAACCAAAATTAAAAAAAATGTACAATTACTACTGACATTTTAGCTTTTTTTTCTTGGGGGATTGGTGGTAGCATACTGCAAGGCTTTTTACTACCCAATCTGGTAAGACAGACTCACTGCACTGTACAGTAGTTCTGGAAACATGCCAACTACAGTAAAAGATCTTGCGATATTTCCTTCATGGCATTTAATACTAACATGTTTTTTTTTTAACATCTTTGCCCTAACTGCAGACAATTATTACCTGTGGGAAACTGCTGTCTAATGCGCTAAAGCACTGAAAATCATTTTATATAGTCCAGAAATGTGATTAGAAGTACCATAAACAAAGTTGCTGGACTCGTACATGTAGTGAAAATTCCTGTTTAGGCACTTAGCTATAATGGCATTTTTTTTAGTTTTATATTGTACTCATCCAGCAATTGTCGCAAGTATTTTTCTGTTTTGTTTGTTCACATCATTGGCCAAGGTAATTCCCTTGAAATTGTCATTCCTGTTTATTGCTCAAACTTTTTTGAAGCACAAAGCATATTTATTATTTAGTAAATTATCAACTGCATGAAATTTTGTAAAAATTTTTTGAAATATGCTGATTTCTTGTGATAAATATTAAGTAAATGTTTCAAAATTATTTAGTTAGAATTTGTTTTATCAACTGATGGAGAGTTGTCTTTTTATGAGCCAGGTATTTCATTTGAAGATTTCAGTGTAGTACTAAATGATCATTTTGTGTGATAAGGGCATTTGTTTGGACAATGTATCATAATAAACGTGTGGCTATAATGACCGCTCATCAGATCAACTGGCTATTTGGACTGATAGTGCTATTAAGGTTGTACTGCTTATGACCATTCCGTGTTGATCGCATTATATGGCGTAAATTCAGTCATGCAAGATTTAAACCTGTATTGATTTTTTGATAAATCCAATTTTAGAGTATAAGCTTATTCGGGCAGCATCAGTTGTGCACTCTCGGAGTAGAATTGAGATTTATGGTGGTACAAATCATGTGCACATGCACGATCCCTTCCACTTTCACTTCAAGCTTTCCTGTACTGGGTTTTTACAACTGGTGGACCATGGATCATCTCATGCTCAGACTTCACAAAGCATCAGCAATCTGCATGTCTAACAGTGTGTTGGAATTTAACATGAAAATGGCTGCTAGTCAAGCGAACTTGATCAAGTGACAAATGCCTTGTTTTCATCTGTGTGAGCAACTTAAAGTCATGTTGGATTATTAATTGTGCATCTGAGTTAAAGCCTTGCACATGTAAGCTGATCATGGCTTGTGTGGAAGTCACTGGTTTGAATGAAATCTTGCCATACACAAGTGTTGTACATGTAAACTCTAGCCACAATAGTAATATTTC